TGCATATCTTTTGGAATTAGTGTTTTGGATTTCTTCCATTTCTTTCCAATGTGGGTGTCTTCATTTCTTTTTCTTCTGCTTGGCTAGAACGTCCGGTACATTATTACAAAGCGGTGATGAATGCAGGCTTCCTCATCTTGTGCCTGATCTTAGGAAAAAGCTTTCAGTCTTTTATCATTGTTGTGTTACCTGTGGGCTTCTCATAAATGGTCTTTATCATGTTGAGGAAGTTTCCATTTAATCCTAACTTTTTGATAGTTTTGATCATGAAAGGATATTGGACTTTGTCAGACCTTTTTTGCATAAACAGAGATGATCAATGATCATGCGTGCACATGTGTGTGTGTGTGTGTGTGTGTGTGTGTCTGTGTGTGTGTGTGTGTGTTTCCTTTTTTCTATTAATGTGGTATATTGGTTAACTTTATTATATTGAACCACTGGGGATATGAATCCCACTTTTTTAGCTTGGGTGAGTTCTAGGTTAGGCTAAACGGAGATAAGAGCCTTGTGTTAGTCCATCAGATACCCCCCAGACGAGTTAGAACATACAGACACAGTAATTTGAGATTTAGGTCTGTTTTGCTCATTCTGGACCCAGGTATTGGGATCCCACACTGGGAAAGCAGTCTCATGTCTTCAAGACTTTTATTGTATTGGGGAAGAGAAAGTAATGCCACAAGATTTCTTACCATTTTTAAGTTGCCTTTTCTTGATTCAATATTCACTGGCTTCTGTAAAACTTTGTTTTGCAGAGTTCTAACAAATTGATTCTGACACTGTTTACTTGTTTTTAAAGTTTCTGAAGGGAGTGGGGAGCTTAGAGCTGCCTACTTAACCATTTTACTGATGTCACTTTCTTAATTTCTTTTTTATTTTTAAAAATTTCCTCCTTTTTACCTTTTATTTCTATAAATGCATTATAGAAATTTAGGCACTCGTGTCCTTTCTAATTATGTATTGATTTCTAAAGTGATTTTTTTCCCTTTTGTTCCTTTTTTCTTTTTTTGGAGTCCTTTCACCTTTTCTGGAGTTTTATAATTGTGATTTATGTTTTTCTTTCATGTCTTGAATAGTTTTTGTTTTTTTAATGCCTTTTAGCTTGTTTTAAAATAGTATGTTATAATTTTGATGTGTGCCCGAGGTCTGTCTTTCATTATATGTAGGGATGTTATTCTGCTCTTCAGTCTCTTTTTTCTTAAAATAACTGTATGGGATGGGACCTTGACATTTTTCTGTTGCTTATTTTTATGTGAAGTTTTGTTTTTCTGAACTTTCAGAAGGGGTCATGATTTAGGATAACTTTTCTAATGTCACAGAGCTCCCTCTTCTGGTATTTTTTGGGTGTGTATGTTGTTTTTTTTAATGTTAAAAAATATGGTGACTTCTTTCTCTTTCTCTACTTTTACTGGATCTCTTCCCTTATATCTGTTGTCCCTGTTTTGCTCAATTTTGTGTCCACCTAGCAGCTATTCCTCAGTGTGGAGTCTTGTTGGGGGAGGCAGCTTTGGTTGGGGGGTTGCTTTTAAGGATTATGTGATTCAGACTGCTCCAGCCTTTTCCAAAACTTACCTGGCACTCACTTGTGATTGGATTGGGATAACCCTTTCTAATTTTCAAAGTTCTCTTCTCAAATTGGCCATTATACTATCCAGTAAATATCTACTGACTATTTTGATGTTCTTTTTAGGTCCCTCAAATACCCAGTTGCTTTCCTATGCATCCTCCTGCACAGATGGTGACTTCATGCAGGTCCTATGGCTGCTGATGGTTTTCCCCACTTCTATTTTGAGGTTTCTAGCCTAATTTTAAATAGTTTCTGTTCAATGTAGACTAAATAATGGCACATTTTTTCATAGGTGGTGCAGAAATATTTTTTATATCAATCTTTCAAAGCGGCCAAGGGCAGAAAGTTAAATCATATCAACAAAAATATTTCTTCAGGGAAGTAAAACAAATGATGTCTAACTCTCCACAAACACAGAGACCCAGGGGCATATGTGGAGATTAGTGTGGCTGAGAGGGATGAGAAAATAAAATGATGGAAGTGAATGAATTTAGAGAAGGAACCAGGAACCAGATTATGTAGGGCTTTTCAGGTTATAATGGTAAGAACTTTGGACTTTATTCTGAGGTGTATAGAAGCCATTAGGTTGAGAGCAAAGGAAGAAAGAGCAACTAATGTAAACTAGGTTCCACCTAAATGGGTGCTGCTTTGAGTAGTAATATAGCTATGTCAGCATAAAACAATTGTGTTAATATTGATTTTTTAATTTGATATTTTATGGTTTTAGATTTATATAAGAGTTACATACATGAGGAGTAAACACACACTTTTTTCTTTTCCAAAGTTTGCTAAATAGTTCTGAACCTCATTTCAGTACTATTTAGTTGATATTTTTATTTATCTTCTGTTCTCTTTAATGTTTAAAATGACATACTAATTGCATCCTTTTAAATTAACTTAGTAACATTAATGGGCCAGAACTTGAAGTTTGAAAATCACTATAATTCTAGTATAATCCCTTGGGTTTTACCATAGCACACATTACTGTAAATGACCAAACCAAAATCTAGATATCACCACATTTCCCACGGGTATATTTATTTAAAAACAAAAAACAAATTCCCTTATACAGTGTAAAATTTAAGTTCTAGTATAGAAAAACTATTGAGGATAAATATTCTTACTTGGTGAGTTGTCTGTGCTATTCTCCCTGGTATGAAATGTTAATGCCTCTAAGTTTCCAATGGACTTATAAAATATTAATACAGTTTTCTTTGTAATTAAATACACAAACTGCTAACTAAAGTAACAGTGGTCTTTTTTAAAATTATACTAGTAAACAGAACCTGGACACTGTCGCTAAGTGGTTAGCATCAACCTGTGAACCAAGAGGTTACTGGTTCGATTTCCTGTCAGGGTATATGTCCAGGTTGTGGGTTCGATTCCTAGTAGGGCATGTGCAGGAGGTGGCCAGTTGGTGATTCTCTCTCATTGTTTCTATCTCTCCATCCTCCTCCCTCACTGAAATAATTTTAAATATATATATATATTAAAAATGAATTATAAATAGAGTAAATCATCTTATAGGCAGCCTGATGGCCTTTATATTGTCACCTAAGAAAAGGATTGTCATTTTCATATTTTCTGCAAATTGCTTATTCCTTTGTTGTGTTTCACTTTGTAAGAGAGCCTGTGAGAGGAGTGAAGTACAAATGAAACATAAAGGTCAGTTGAAGTAATGGGAAAGATAGTTCTTTTAATTCTCTTATTTGAGTCCTTGCTTCTATGTTCCATAGCTCTGTGACCTTTGGAAAAACACTTGCCCGGACCTTCTTTTCTCGTCTATAAAACGTAATAATATCTATATCACAGCTTTAATGTTAAGGTTAAATGAGAGCCTGGTGGTGTCACATGTATTTTAATAGACATTAGGGTTTGGGTTTTTTTTCTTTCCTTTCTTCCTTAGAAAGGAATTCGGTGAAAATATGTTGCTAGATATTCAGGGCTGGAGAGTATAGAAAATTTCAAAAAGAAAGGTACATGTTTGGTACATGTTTTCTTACTGGTTATTCTCTTCCTGGTAAGTCTATTGTGTCTGATCCCAGTTGTTCCTAATATATTTTGGGATAAGTAAGTGATAAACAGGTGGGCTTCCTGTGCTTCCTCCTGTCCCTTCCCTTCTAAAGGGGGGGGGGGGTTTGGGGGGGTTATGTAATCTAAGTGAGGAAAGGCACATTTAGGAGGCCGGGAAATAGTATCTTCATGGTTGGTTCCATTATTTTAGTTTCTTACGTCTCCAGTCTGCTTAACAAAAATTTTATGGAGTATATATTGGTCCTAATACCAACTATGCTAGCTAACTGATACCTATTAATTATAAGTGTTACCTAAAACCATTATCCTGCCTGTGGAATAAACAACACTTCCTTTGACTTAACCCAGACAACCTAGGAAAATTACAAAGTCAGAGTGAGATGGAAAGATAGACTTAGAATTTTATCTAGCTGGCTTTAAAAAAAAACAGACACACAACAGGTTCATGTTGTAATTTATTTACCATAAAATTCATTCTTTTAAAGTGTACAATTTAGAGGTTTTTAATATATTCACAGTTATGCAACCATCACCACTGTATAATTTTAGAACATTTTATTCACTCCCAAAAGAATCCTCACACCCATTAGTAGTTGCTAGATACTCAGGGCTGTAGAGTGTAGAACATTTCAAAAAGAAAGGAACATTCTCACCCTGTCTCACCTCATGGCCTGGCACCTCAGCCCCTTGGGATTACTAATGTAATTTTGTTTGTATGGATTTGCTTATTCTGAGTATTTTATTATCAGTATAATAACATAATATATGGTCTTTTACTCAATATAATGTTTTAAAGATTTATCCATGTTGTAGCATGAATCAATACTTCATTCCTTTTCATTGCCAAATAATATAACATCAAATGGATAGACTATTATCTTATTTACCCATTCATTAGTTGAACATTTGGGTTGTTTCTACTTTTTGGCTCTTATGAATAAATGTTGCTATGAACATTGTATACGAGTTTTTGTGAGGATATATGTTTTTAGTTTTCTTAAATATATATATATATATATATATATATATTTTTTTTTTCTTAAATACACACACACACACACACACACACACCTTTGAGTGGAATTTTTGGCTCATATGCTAACTTTATGTTTAACATTTTGAGGACCTTAAATACTTTTTTCCAAAATGATTATACTATTTTTTGTTAGCTGGATTTTAAATCACTGATTTTAGTGTTCTAATTATGTGTGTGTATGTGTGTGTGTGTGTGTGTGTGTGTGTGTGTGTGTATGAAGAACCTTAGTTGAAACAAGTGGTTTGAATTGATGGTGGGGGGGTGGAAATTTATCTGCAGTAGTTTGCAAAGTTGGGCGTTACTTTTTTAAATGTAGGTTTAGAATTACTACTATTAATTTTTGGCTTTTCAATTTTGTTTTTGCAGTTTTATCTCCAAGACACTAAAAGTAGTAATGGTACCTTTATAAATAGCCAGAGATTAAGTCGAGGCTCTGAAGAAAGTCCACCATGTGAAATTCTTTCTGGTGACATTATCCAGTTTGGAGTAGATGTGACAGAGAACACACGGAAAGGTACGGGTATGGATCAATTTTTCCTATTATTTATCTTTTTAACTTTATTTTTATTCTATCATTAAATGTTACAAAATATGTTGTGCTTATAGAAGCAATTTAAATACAGCATTATATGCAGTGAAAGTTAAAAATTTCATATCTTCTATTTTATAAAATTTTAAAATCTGAAATGTTAATAATTAATCTATATTCTTCAACACAGTATGACTAGATAGGTCATGGCTGTGTCAGTTAGGAGACAGTATGAAGTGACTCCATACCCAATCAGTAGGGGCTTAAACCATAAAGATAGTTATTGTTAATAAGTCTGGAGACAGGTAGGTCAAGACTTTGTTCTCTTGACTCAGTGATGTTATCAGGAATCCAGAGTCTTACTGTCCTCACATGCTATTATCCTTAACATGTTGGCTTCTTATGTTCTTTGCCTTATAGTCAAAGTGTGCCAGCTGTAGCTCCAGGCCTTATTTTTCTCACACCAGTGTTCTAGCCAAAAGGAGGAGGTGGGGACAAAAAGCCTTCCTGTGTGGCTCTCTTTTCATGTTGAAAGAATAGTTTTTTTAATAGAATCCTCCCAGCAGATTCCTCCCTTTTGTCTCAATGGCTACATGGATATGTTACATACATAGCTACTTGTAGCTACAAAGAAGCCTGAGGAGTTACTACCTGGCAAAGGGGAGAAGATCCATGATTGATCAGTTATAATTTATCCCTTCCAGTTGTGCATACATTGTTGCCTCAAACAAAGTTAGTGCTCTGAAAGCAGCTAATAATACCTGTCACAGTTATAAAATTTCATGCCTCAGTGTTTGAAGCTAGAAAGTCTCTAGCTAAACAAATGTAAATTGTCGGTATGTTAAGAATTCTAAAGTTTTCTGGCTGTAGCTAGTAACTCTCTACTTATGACCATGAAACTATATATAGCTGAATCATAAAACTAAATGGTAATCTGTCACCAATGAATTTCATGTAACCCACCTATGTCCCTCCTTTGATCTTAATTTATAAATAGAAATGTAACCTGCCATTCTTCAGAGCATTATCTCAATTCTTTGAGGTTCTGCTTCCTAGCATATGTCAACAGTTTGGCTCAAATAAACTCACTAAAATTCTTTAAAAAACAAAACAAACAAACAAAAAAAACACAACACCTAAATGAATAGGAAACAAAAGAATGTGGTTCCACTGTCTTAGTTTAATATGGACAGTGGATCCAATTGGCAAGTTTCTTCTATTTCTCTGAACATACTCTGATCTGGTGATACCCTGAGTCATCAGTCTCTGACATTTTACACAGTGTATACAGGGATGGTGGTGGCAGTGATGCTGGTGTGCGTGTGCATGTATATTATATTTTTACTTTCACTGGTGTTGCAATTGCAATATTAGTTTTACTGGGTTTTGTTGGCCTCCTCAGGAAGTTGGGTTTTGATATTTGAATTTGTATAGGGCCACAGTTTTAGAAATTTCCATTTATAATTATAAAATAGAAAAGTTTGTATTTTGATGCAAAATATTTAGTAGTCAATTAAGAAACTCAACTTATGAATGGCTATAATGAGAACAGCTATAGTGCACACTCTAATGTCTGCTATTGCCAAATCACACCTCTTCTGATTTTGTTTTTTGGCTTTTTATACAATGCGGCTCCAGGGAGGAAGCTCACTGATTAGTACTGTACTAACAACCTGCCTTATAGATAAAAAAATAATTATTGTAAAACAAATAGGATGACATTGTAATGGATTTTTATTTTTAAAGGAAGGAAGGAATGGAGAAAGCCAACCTATTAGATCCTCCTGGAATGGGAGCCTTACCAAACCAGCTACTGGCCACGACTTTGTTCCCAAACCCACAAACTGCTCAGGCAGGACATGAATTTTTTGGGTTACACAACATGGCAATCCTCTGTTGCAAAGTTTGGGACTGGCTAATCCTATAAAGGTCACATATAACTTCTATCAGCTCATCAGCTCAGGTCCACTTCACCAATAACTGTTCCTGGGTAAGTCCCTATGAAAAAAGAGCCTATGAAGAGCAAGGTCAATGGTATCTTCCTTTTGCTTTATGCTCCCACAGCACATAATTACTTTTATTCCCCACAATAAACCTTCCCTTTTCTGGCCTTCAAGCCATTGCACACACATGCATTTTCCTTCACCTAGAAATGTTTGTAAGCTGGACAAGGTGCCCTTCCATGTCCCCATTACACACTGTGCTCCTCCCCTTTATGTGTTTGCCTCCCTCACTAATCTGTAAGCTGTGCAAGAGCAGTCAGTGTATCTGTCTTCATTATAGAAACTCCTCTCAACCTGGCACCAATATTAATGATAAATTTTAAAACATCCCATGAATCTTCATTCACCATTTTACAAACTTCTTTTTATCATATTAACTAAGACTTTTTACAACCTTCCTCCTAATAGGAGGGTTGGTAATTGGCAACATTCTTGTTACCCACTGCCTGTTTTGTTCTGCTGTGACTTAGTTACTTCTCCTTACTCCTCCTTAAGCTTGAATTTCCTCATATTATGAAATGGGACTCAAGGATTTTGGTATAGTGTTCATTGTTCACACTATGACTCAGTGTTCACACTGTGACACAGTGTTTAATGTGAACATTGAAAGGATGTTATAAAGTGCTCAGAGAAGGGCCAGGTACTTTTATTATCACTAAAACACTTGTCAGTCATTTGCATCATCTTTAATTTTTTGCCATCAAGTTTACCCTTCTTTCTCAGTAGCTTTCGATCCAGGATCCTTTTACCGTCTGTTCTTTGGAATCCATCATTGGCCATTCACAGATACTCTCACCAACTAGACTATTCCTTGACTTTTGGCTATGCTGGCTTGCTTGTTCCTAGATCTTGGTAACTTTCATCATAAGCTTTACATGCTTCTACTTTCTAGTTCCTAGGGAAAATCACAAAGCTGATTCATTACAGACCATACCAGATCTGCCAGGCTGACTGAGAGAATCTTTCTGATGTCATGGCAGTATACCCAGGATGCACACCAGAATTACCTGCAGAGTTTTGTAAAACTACAGATGCTCAGATTTCACCCATTCAGCCCTAAGAAGGAGAATTGCTGGGTGTGGAACTTGGACATATCTAATTTTTTAAAGCCTCAAATTGTTCTTTTGGACAGTGAGGTTTAAGAAGCCTACTCAATTAAATTTCTGGCAAATGTTCTAATGCTTTCCCTTATCCTTAAGTCCCAAGTGTCACTTCTTGCTTTGTTTGCTATGAACCTGTGCATGCTGGCTCTGTACCTGTATTTCTAGCTGCTTGCAGTTGTTTTCTTTTGAATGTTTGCTGTCACCTTACTCTGTACACAGCTCAATTTAGTTTTCAAACGAGAATATTCTACTGACTTCCCAATTTCTTCTGTTCCATCATTCTCCCAAACACTCTAGCTCAGCTTCTTGGAATCTCTTCTAAATCCCGTCTCTTTCTTCTACACCAGTTATGTCATCTACACTATTTGCCCTCCTTTCCCTGTTATTTCTTGTTTTTCCTGTTGCCAACTTAAGAGTGTTACAGAAGCTTTCCACTTCTGGCTACCATTCTTCTGGTACAGATATATTTATGTCATTCTGCTTTTAGAAGCCTTGGTGACTGTGCCAATTGCAGAATAAAGTCTGAAATGCTTAATTGTACATTTGAAGCCCTCAAAAATATGACTCAATTTAGCCTTTTGCTTTTATTTCCCTTATATATGTTAAGCTATTAACTATATTGTTTAGAGATAAGTGCCTATATGGAAAAGATTCTTTTGAATCCTAGCACTGCCACTTGCCAAAGGTGTGATCTCCATCAAGTTATTTTAGTCTCTTTGACTTTAGTTTCCTCATATTTAAAATAGGACATAAAAATAACTATTTGCATGATTTGTCATAAGGAGTTAACATACATAATGTGCTTAGCATGAGGGCCTTAAAATGTGTTCTTCATTTCATCTTCTTAATCTCTCCTTAGATTTGTGCTCTCTCATATCCTTCTCTTTTTCTGTTTCTTTGCTTATGCCATTTTCTCTGCTTTTCCTTCCCCTGCCCTTGTCCATTCCAAATTTCCACAGTGTTTTATATTTATTATAATATTTGTGAAAGTTTCTCCCTTTGTTATGTTAAGTATTTCTAGTTCTCTTTCTGTAAATGAAATTGAAATCCTAGCCATAATCATCTTATTGTTTTTCATCATTCTCAACGTACTGCTTTATAACCAGCAGGTTCTCAGTGAATATTAAACAAACAGGTAAAGCCAGATAATGACCACTCCTCATTAATGAATAAAATAATATGCCAAAGAGCAATATCATTTCACAGTAAGCTAGAGAAAGTGGAAAATGAATCCACCTACCTAGAGAAAGAATTCCTCCCACCAAATAAATATGTAGAAACAAGATTCCTATAAGAAATGGTAGCTGATTCTGCATCTAGGGGTGGAAATATACAAATTGAGTCTGGAATATTTATCATACCAGAAAGCAATGAAACCATCTAAGACTACTGGGTTTCCTGCAAAGGACTCAAGAATTAATATGGAGTTCCAATTGATCAAAGAGGGGACAATTTGATTATCAAATAATAATAACAGCAGTGGATTGAAATGTATCAAATTTGTTTGAATCCATGAATGCACAATGATTCTAAAAGAAAAAGATTTGATTGCCTTTAGAAGAACTTAGGGAGCCTATTTATCAATCTACAAACAAATAATGAGAAAGATTAGCCTAGCCTGCAGGCGTGGTTCAGTGGTTGAGTGTCAATTTATGAACCAGGAGGTCTTGGTTTGATTCCCAGTCAGTGCACATACCTGGATTGCAGGCTCAATCCTAGCAGGAGGCAGCCAATCAGTGATTCTCATCACTGATGTTTTTTCTTTCTCCCTATCCAAAATATATAAAAATAGATTAAAAGAAAAAAAGAGAAAGATTAAAGTATTTATGCTACTTTTCCTATAGGAATTATATCTGTGGTAAAGTTTTTATAACCGAAC